TTTTTCTCTACCATCCTGCTGCTTTTAATAGACGTATTTTTAACTCACAATCGTCGAACGCAAAACAAATGTTTACCAAGAAAACGAGCAAGTACGCAGCTCCGTGTAATGACGTAGCCTGTTTCAGGGTGGAATGTGGTTGTGGCTGCGGTTATAAGTGTGGCTGTAGCTGCGGATGTGTGGATGTTGGTGGGTGTGTGGATGTAGAGTGTGGGTGTGGGTGTGAGTCTAGTCTTCACTCAAAGCGAAACCATACACCCATACCAACACCCACATGCACAGCCACAGCTGCAGCCACACCCCACACCCCGTATTTATTCATTGGGTGGGTGTGGGTATGGGGGTGTGGATGTGGATGTGTGGATGTGGGTGTGGATGTGGGTGTGGGTGTGGGTGTGGATGTGGGTGTGGGTGTGGGTGTGGGTGTGGGTGTGGGTGTGGGTGCGGGGTGGGGTGTGGGGTGGGGTGGGGCGTGAGTGGGTGGGTGGGTGGGTGCGAGTGTGGGTCTACATGGTCTGTTAGCACACACCGACACGCACACTCACACTCACACCCAAACCCACACCCACGCCCATACTTGATTGTGACTTCGTAGCCCAATCACAAAAAAACAATTTATGGATCACAAAGTGACTCATAAATGCACTTGATCTTTCGATATTAAATGTACAAATCATTACTCAAACAAAATAGATGACTTTTTCCCTAGTATGATATTAGTAAACTTTCAGAAGAGGTTGAATCTAATGTGATCGATAAATTTCAAGAAGATTAGAAAAACTCACTTTTCCTAAAACCTAATGATTATATAAAAAATTGAATATGAATAGTTTTCATATAACGATGTTGCTATACCAAAACGGTGGACATCTTAAAAATTGAATATCTCGGCCCATGATCGCTATGGGCACGTAATATTTTAAATTTGTTAGTTTGGCGGTGAGAATGATAATTTGGGTGTGGGTATAGATGGATGTCTGAAGTGTAGATAGGCACGAATGTTCTCTCATCCTCACCGTTGCCCATAAGTCCGACTCGACAAAAACTAGACTTTTGAATTCGAACCCGAATATGATAGATCTAGATTCAGATCCAAACTTTTTTTCATCGTTACATGACACCTTCGCTGTATATGAGTAAGTCAAAGATGCAGATTTTTGCTATCTATTGGCTACCACAAGAAATCATCAGTGTAAACATGATTATTTCTGTGCACTCACTCGTTATGTACCAAGTCCGAATCTTAATGAATTCGAATTCAATCGGATCCCGAGTCCGTCCTTTTTTTCTTCTGATTACTCTTCTTTGAGTGTGTAGATCAACGAATCTTTCGAATCTTTTTGAATCTCGCATGTGAACCTGACCGAACCGAAATCCCATCAGATCAAAACGACTAGAATTGGAGTCCATTCGAAACCAAATCTAATCAAATCAGAGTCTAATCGAACCTGAATCCGAATATTCGGGCTCTGTACATGACTATTTGTTACCGTTGCATATGATCCTCTTCCAAGTTATCAATACGGCCATTGTTACTGCATTCTATCTTTCGAATGACTTTTTATACTACTGAATGTGCCAAAGCACAGCAATACTTTTCTGCTCGAAAGCAATAACACATCGCAATGGGCTCATAACTTAGTGATTCATGAATGAATTACATTTTGTTTGCAGGATTAGAATCTGTTCTTTATTTCGAATAAACTGATGATAATTAGCAAGAAGAGACTATCTGGAATAAGTGGAAAAAATCTAATGATCATTGTTGAGCTGTCATCAAATGTCTATTTGAATTTTCGCATGATCTGATCAAAATGGGGTGATGACTGATCGACACCTGCTTCGAGACGCAATCGTCGCATACGTTGTTCGATATCATTATCAGCCCCGACAGCTCGAAATTGATCTGGCATATGGAAAAAATCTTGAGCATGTAGTGGATCATTGAGACGGGGACATATTGGACTGGGCGTCCGTGATCGTTGATGTTTGACGACACGAAGAAATTGTTGATGATTCTCTTGTTCAACTCGATGAAAATTTGATGATGATGTTGATGGTCGTCGATCTTTTTCAACGGGCTCAATGACAAGGACAGGACTTGGATTATCCAGATATTTTTTCAATTTCACCACCTCGGGCCGATTTTTGTTACGATCAGCATCTTTTTCATGAACACTACTGAATTGTTTCATCATATCTTCGAAATGTTGTCGAATTAGATTCAAATTTACATGTGGTCTTGGTGGTGGTGAAAAAACTGCTTTCGGTTCGGCTTTCTCCTGCTGGTGGTATTCATTATAGAAACGAATAAAAATATTATCTTTTGTTGCTATTGTTTGATTTGTATAATTGGAACATTTTTCTTTGATATATCGATCCGCTGCTTGTCGATACTTATGAAGAATATATTCCAATTCGATAGCAGTTGGTCGGCGAGTCGATTCATCCCGAATACATTGAAGAATCAAATTGATGAAAATCGGACTTTGTTCGATTAATTGAACATGTTTGGTCGATTGATTAAATCGATGAATTTTCTCTGTAAATAGTTCATTTAATGTCAATCCATAGGTGAACACATCCAGTGATTGATCATATTGACCATCGCCACTAGAATAAACAGAGTAGCAGCAATCGAAATGTTTGTCAAAGCAAATCAAGTTCTCTTTTATCTCTTACTTACCGATGGAATTCCGGTGGCATGAAAGGCAAACAACCGATCAATGTGTGGCGTTCGTCTGGATTGAATATATGTGCGATGCCCATATCACCGATCTTTGCTGTAAAATTATTCGATACAAGAATATTATCAGGACGAATATCCCGATGAATCATCGTGTGTGCATGTAATTTACGCATACCACTGGCAATATGACAGGCCATGGAAAGTTTACGTCGAAGTGAGATTTTCTCATCACGATTATGAATTACATCGGACAAACTACCACGCTGCATAAATTCAGTAATCAAGTAACATTCTTTTACCCCCTTGTCTAGCATTCGATCACCATAACCGAATGTTTTAAGGATAAATGCACCGGATAGTTCAGCATAGGCAGCTAATTCTTTGCGAAAGCTCTCTTCCAAGTGACATCGCTGTGGTGTCACTCGAATCACTTTACAAGCTACTTGACGATTTTTTGATAACCATTTTGCTTTACAAACTTGACCTACATGAATGAGAATGTTTGATAGAAAACACTAAGGATAGAAAACACAGATCGACATACCGAATGCTCCTTGGCCGAGTACATTTCCCTTGCGAATGTCGCTAATATCGATTTTCGTCAAACTTTGATTGCCGGTTGCTACTAATGGATGGATGTTCTGATGCTGTTTGCTGGTCACTCGTTGTTTCATACATTGAGAACATAGATTATAGTTGTAACATGTATCACATTTGAATCGAACTCCCACAATCGATGTTCGACAACCATTACATACGAGATCGTGATATTTACCAGCTAGGAGTTCCTGAATTTTTGTCAGAGTTATCTCCTTAGAATGACGAATTGGTTGACCGAACAATTCATTGGGAATTTTTAGATGTGCCATCGCATGACCACTGAGATGTTCTTTCGTTTGACGCCTTTCTTCAAAACAATTACCGCATATATCATAGTCAATACATTGCAAACATCTGTATCGATCACTATAGATTTTCGTCGAATGACAACCATTACATGACACATTATGCATATTGTCTGATGAACTATCATCAGCCTCTTCGTTGTTATTGTATGCATTCGCCATATTGAAGTTTAATTTCCCAATCTCATTCTACGTCTAGAATTAGAAATCAATTCGTTGGTGATATTCAATCAATTCAAGTGCAAGAAGAACAGAAAGATCGCTAGTCAATTTTATTGATAGTTTTTCATCAGATTAGGCGGAATATCATGATCATGTTGTTTATGATCAGAAATAGCTATCAGCCTCGAAGTCTTTTCTTTTTTGCCTCTTCTGAAGGTCATTCTACATTTGTGTCATTCCATGAGCAAGCAACAGAATGATGAAAAGAGAAAGTTGATACTTCGAAGACAAATGTAATTCTATGGTTATACCAATCAACATTCACGCTACTGATAAAACAGATCGATCTTCAAATAGACATCGGTGAAAAGTCAACGTAAATGTCACTAACGCTCACGAAGACTGAATTTCAAGGAATTACAAAAGTATTCCAAGAACCATACTAACTCAATATAATTCTACTGTCAAATACGAAAAGTCTACGTGATAGACATTGACTGCAGTATCGATCTTTGATTCAACGAACTCGACAGTTTTCAATTTTATGAGTTGCAATAAACAGTCGTCGTAGCCTTTTTTGACAGTCGATGATTCATTATTCTGAGTCTTTGGTGAGTCAACGAAGAAATCGACGCCTTACTAATGAAGAATAAAGAACAAATGTTAAAAAGACGATGAATATTGATCTTACAGCATTTTATTTTGGAGAACTAAAATGTTCGTTCGATGCAGATCTACCTAAAGCATCTGAGAAAGGATGAGGACATTTTGAGAAATGTATATGCTCGATATCGACTTTAAAGAAATTTTTACAATCAAGTCATAATGAAAAGTTTTCTCTCGAACGCAAAAAGAATGATTCCTGACTATGTAAAAGAAATCAAGCATCTATTTGTCTGAGACAAGAGAAAACGTATGTGGGTGGAGTGGGGTGCGAGCAATTGATGTTTTGATTCTGTTGATTTAGCACTCACCTGACTCCTTCTTATGAATGAATCATTGGTGAATTAAAGTTCTGAATGACGTTATCGATAGAGTGAAAAATCATTGAAAAAACAAAGAAAATCAGATGTACATGAATAGATGACGAAAGACGTGTGAGATCCGATAAAAGTCATTGTGCAAATAGAGTGGGTGACGGTATGACATCACGGTTATTCATATTCTGTATGGTGCTAATGCACATCTGAATCGTGTCAATGCATTTCAAGAGACATCGATTGATATTGTATCTCATCCAACTGTTAAAGAATTTCTCAAACATAGAATGAAACCCGGTTTAAAGTTCTTATGTGCCAGGCCTATTCAGACGACTTCTTTATTGATTGATTTCGTCAACATACTATATATCAAAGAGACGAGAAACTTTTCATTATTTTCATTCTATCATTAATGTCGAAAACAACTAAAGTTTATTCACATCTGATTTCTATTACATTATTTTATCAAAATAAATCTTCGAACCAAAGTGAAGATAACCTTGACCTATAGCAATAAATGAATTCGTAGAAGACCAAAGAATATACACCGAATATTGAAAGAACTGCATGAGTTATTGTTAACAACTCTAGCTAAGATTCGTCAGATTCATTGTCCTATTATTTGCAGGAACTTGCTTATTGTAATCCATGTTCTGCCTACTATAGAATGAAAGTCGATTAAAAACATGTATGCTAGACACCTGAACAAGTCAAACATTCAATACAATCACTTCAAAACTTATGCAATTAGTGAAATATAATGTCTGTCAAGATCGATTCAACTGTGATGAGATTATTAATGCTCCCATTGAACAATGGCAATTTATAAATGGCAAACGTGGGTGTGGGTATGGATGTAGGTGGGTGTGGGTGTGTCAGTGGAATACATGCTAGAATGTCCTCGCAAAAATGTCCTTTATGAAACGTCCTTCGACTTTTCGTCCTTGAAAAAATGTCCTTCGGATTAAATGTTCTTCAGATTTAATGTCTTTGCGAAATAGTACTTAGTGGTATAGTCCTCAGAAAAAATGTTCTCTATGATAAAAATGTCCTTTAACTAAAATATGAAGAATGGTTGATGATAATGTTCATCAGGTAGTTTAATTTATTATAACGAGTTGAATTTTTATTTCATTTCGCATCTACAACAAAAAGAAAAAGTCCACGTAATAATTCTTTCACTTTAATTTGGTTATTATTGAATCGATCAAATAATTCTTTAGTTCTTTATTTAACAATTCGAAACTTGATTCGTTTTGTACGAGGGCCCATTCCACTATTATTTGAATAATTAAATCGTGAATCGTATTAACTTCTTTTCGGAGTGAGTCGATAAGCATCCATATATTAGGATGAGTTTTATTTAAACGTCTTTTAAACCTATGGTTATATCCTAAAGATATACGAGTTTTAGGTACAAATTATAGCTGACATACTGCTTCCTATACCTTCGCTAAAATTATTAGTTTTTTCAGGGATGTCGAACACATTCCATACAGATATTTGTCGCATCCAATAATCATTAAGTTATTTGAATAAATCACTTAATTCATCACGTTCAGAATCATTTAATTCTTGTCCGAGATTTGCAAATAATGATGGAACATATTGTTCAGGTACTAAAGTTAGTGCCATCATTTGTCTAATAACACTACGTATCATAATATTGTCTAGATAAGTCGATGATAAACCAAGTGATTGAACATTTTTATATACAGCTTGTGAAAAATGGAAAAAGCATCTTTTCTGGGTAGTTTTTTCTGGGAACTATACAATTAAAAATATGTAGAGTTTAATCAGAAAGTCTTGATAAAAATTTCAAAGATAATTGTACATCGAGACGAATCACGGGTGTGTGTGTGTGGTGTGGCTGTGACTGTGGCTGTAGGTGTGGATGTGGATGAGGGTGTGGGGTGTAGGTGTAGGTGTAGGTCGTAGGTGTAAGCGTAGAGAGGGGTCACACCCATACCCATCTACCTACACCCACACCCTCATTATGATCCTTTTTTGACATCTTAGAGTATTTTAAACCAAAATAATTATGATATTTCCAATGCATAGTGTCAATAACGTATCTATTATGTAACGGTTTTGAAAAAAATATTTGAAAAGTTCGCTAGAGATCAGAGCCGTAGATTTTCTTTATGTGGGCAATAGATAAAATACTGTAGTGTGTTGAGAAGTCATTGCTGATTGTGTATACATAATTTTATGAAAAAACTGGAGCAATAAGTGAGTGTAATGAATAAAATCGCAAAATTTTGGAAAACCCGATATAATTTAATTAATTCGACATTTTAATCTTCTAAAAAATCATTTTCCAGAATACCACGAACTTGTACTATGAAGTTGAATACTACTCATAGAAGATAGAAACGTCGAATCAATTAAATAATATCGAGTTTTTCAAAAATTTAGCCACTTTATTGATTGTTTTCATATATTTGCCTTTTAGACTAAATTTATTCATGAAGCAATAAAAAAAATAGCCTTACAGCTACTTGTCCTACATGAAGAAAAAAAAACAATTTACCATGAACATATTTGAGAAGATTGTTTACCGATGTTGTCAAGTGATTAGGCTGAGCAAGAACGGAATGGTTTAGCTGAAGGATATTTGATGTATATGTTTTGGAAAGGTTCGCTTGCTGAAATACAGTAACAAGAGATATACAAAAATCATCAATTTATACATTTGTGTACTAGTGCAATGCTACAGAATCTTTTTCATCTTTTGTCGAGAACAGTTCCTTTAATAAAAACAGAGTTTCATCTAGTTCATCAACATCAGAATCATCAGGTAGTATTTTCTGATCACAATCTTCAGATAAAAATGTGCCAAAGTCAATGCCGAAATTATCATCAAAGTCATCTATTGCCCCCTGATACGTTTTCTACTTCTCTGATTGTAGAAGTACAATCGGCAAAACTTGTGGGTTTCACAACAGCATAGGAAGACAGGCCTTCTACTAGATTTATGTTTGTTTGTTTACGGAAAACATCGTTTATTAATGAACGCCGTCATTGATGACTTTGCGGCGTTCTTCGTTGCCAACAATAACTCTTCGTTCATTCTATATAGATTCAAAAATGTAAATGTCACAAAATGCAAGATGAATACTACTTTGTTAAAAAGATAGTACCAACAGTACGATTAACGTTTACTAGAAAAAGAATTAGATGAGTTTTTCAAAAACTTTATATAAAGAGCAGTTAAACTGCGCTTACATGTTTTCAAATGTTAGAGTTTAACTGCCTGTTGAATTTCTTTTTAAAGGAATAGTATTCACTTTTTATCTCTTAATCCAAAATACGTATCAGAATACCCAGTGCTATGTCGAACGATAGGTGTCACCTTAGTGCAGCGAGTTTCAAGGGATCTGTAGGTCAAAAATATCTTTTCAGAACTTTCAAAAAGATCGCCGAACGTTTCTTTCTATCTTAATAATTTTGAAAAAATTATGATATTTGTAATCAGCACGCTTAAATTAATCGAACTATGAATACAATTGATAGGACAGCAATCAAAAATAGTTTTCGATATTTGAGAGAGAATACGCATATGAAAATTTGAACTGCAATAATGCATAAAATACATTTGTGGAAAGTAATCAGGATTCAATACTGCCTTTCAGGCATGCAATAATAGGATAAGTTTTCTGACGCATCCGATCCGCACTTGGATATAACTCCCTTCTTCTAATTTCGACAGATTTGAAAAACATGATTTGGAAACTGAGGTCTATTAGAGTCGAATTGATGGAACCCTTGCTACGTTTAAAAAGAGTAGGTCGTCGACGACAACGGCCGTTTACGACAAAATATGTCAAAAAACGATGAACGTTAATTGAACCATTTACCACTGACGTATACGATGACTTACGACTTTGTTCGATAGTCGTTTACAGTCGTCGTATTTTTACGGAAGTCGTAAACGCTGTGAGTTTACGTTAGTCGTTTACGGTGGCCGTAATAGACCATAATGCATCGTTTACGATGGTTGTAAACAGCTATCGTACACGGCTGCCGTTTTCCACCGTATTTGACTGTGTACGGCCGTTTACAGCCGGGCATTATTTACCTGGGAAACAAACGACAAAACTCTGTACTAGATGACACACTAGCTGAAAAGCATATATCTGTTTGACGACTTCTACATTTGAATAAATATGTTGCGAGTGAAGAATTCAAAAAACAATATATTGTTGCCTGACCTAGAATTACCTCAAACAGAGTGTACATTATATTAATCAGTTTTTTTACTGCTGGTTGCTCCTCTCAATCAAATGACAAAAGAGAAATGCAGTCGTTGTAATTTTCTCAATACTAGAGTTTCAACTCACGATTAATTTATACATAAAAGCAAAAATCAGCCTGAACGTTTCATTTTACAATTTTGACTTACACTCTTATGAGCACAAGAACCATCCATAATTATTCTTCTCAGTACAAAATACAAATACATTAAAATATTCTGCATGATTCTCTTTCTTGCTGAATACGAACACTTTATATTAATATTTTGATCCTAGGATCTCAATTAGAGAGTTTTCTTAGCATTTGTACTTATAGGTTTTTAAACGGTTCATCTGCACACAGCCGAACATTGATCCATACAAACAAAATATGATATCGATTTATTGTATGTACACTTTTTGGCAAGCAAACGAGTCAGTACAGAACGATTAAAATAAATGATGAACGAAGAATTGAATCGCTTTTTACGTCTAGAACCGGCAAGATATTTCAATGTTTAAAAAATCAAATGAATCGTTATTTGTGACACGATTAGGTGTTAATAATACAGAGCAATGTATATCGGCTGTGTGTGTTCTCTTTGTTCGCTTCCGCATTCACACCCAAGCCCTTCAACTTTCATGGTCAATATCATCTTGAATAGAACGTTGAAAAGAACTCTGAACTATATAATTAAATAATCTTTGTACTGTATATTCTTGCAAAGACAATAAAGATCAGCAATCATGGCAACATTTTTCTAAACCAGCTGTAAGACCCCTTCTTTGATATACATAAACTATTCGAACTTGAAGAAGTGAAATTTTATAATTTTCTTTTTATTCTAACTTATGATTTATGTTCAATCTTGATTTTATCGAGCACTCAAAATCATGAAATATATTCCATATGGAGCTGTCAATAGGCCACTTTTTCCTTATCTGACCTGAACAGTAAACCAATCCGACTGATGTTTCTGATTTTTTGAATCTATTGAATTTTACAATTTTGCAATGTAAAAAGCTCAATCAAAATTATCAGTTTGTTTGTTCAACAGAACTAGAAAATCAACAATAGACCAATATGAAGCAACAGCTGATGATACATTTTCATCACTATATCATATTTATTTGTTGTGTTTTAATAAATGACATATATATTCAATAGAATAGCATAATGTTTCTAACGGAGAGGTTGTTGATGAAAGATTTAAATTTGTTAATTTTGAAATAGATGAAGCAGATGTAGTCGATAAAACACAACTACAATTAGTTTTGTCTTTCAATTAAGCAATAGCGTTACTTTTATTTATTTCTATTGAGATGAATCAATCATAGCGATTACCTTCTTTCTTTTATTCCAACATACTGTCGATCATCTTTAAAAACCGAAACTATGTTTAAAATTATTAACACATAGTTCCTATTTATTTTTGAATGCTATTAGTAAAAAAAATAATGTTAAATTACAATCAGGTCAGGCTAATAGGTCTCGACGTTCGATAGCGCTTAGGACTTTCGGCACCGAATATAAACCAATGCAGAGAATGTTTTCTATTCAAAGTCAAATTATTGATCAGAAAGAATACAAATTAACCGAGAAGACAGCAGCTTTAGAATACATTCAACTAATAAAAATTTATCTCTTAACCCAAGCCGATTTAAGCTATGTGACTGACACAGACGGTTCAGACGTATCGACATTCACTAAAGACATCGAAAAACGATTTTCTGAAATTGGTGACTTTGAAAGTTTGCTTTGAATCTTTCCTATTGTCCAAAAATCTGTCATTTGTTCAGGTAATTTTTCAGTTTGAATATAAGAGTAATTTTCTTTTAGTTACAACATATGACTATATATAGATGTTCTTGATGAACTATACCAATAAGTCACTTGAAGAAAACAACGAATTTCACATAGAAAATGTGTTAGTCAAAAAAAAATCAAAATATCAACTTCTCAAAGACATCATAATAAAGGCCTATAGTTATTAAATATTTTGATTTCTTTAAAAGAAAGATTTAAAAAATCATCAGAAATCGGTTATTCCGATAAAAGTTCATTCATGAAGAGATTTTGCTCGGCAATATCCTATTAATATTAAACATCAAAAAGATATATTAAGCAGATGGCTGGTTACGTTTGAATGAATCTTATCAATGAGTCATTATTTCTCCTTGATCACTAATTCGGGCACGCCTTTTACTGTTAAATACTTTCTTATTCATTTTGCTAGAACAGAAAAACATTGTTTCACCATCGCATATACACTACTTTTGCACGTGGTAACCCATCCCATGAAAAATAATTATTGAAAAGAAAAATCAAACATTGAAATATATTTAGAGATTATTTTAATATTCAATGGATGAAGACAACTCAAATCAATTAAATACTAATGATGATTTAGCATCAACTGATCCAGAAGAAAAACATTCATCGTCATCATCATCTGTGTTTGTTCTTCAACAATCTTTAAGCGATGATCAACAAGAAGAAACATTTCATTATCAACTAAAAGCACCATTATGTGTATCACAAAGATATGAAAAAGAGTTTTTTGATCATGTAGATCTCAAAATTCATTTATATATAGAATTATTTCGAAACACAAATAAATTACTTTTATTTTTAGTTTCATATAAATTACTTTGGTGAACTGGAACGTGAAGGTTTATTTTTAGCTTCTGTTCGATCTATTCGAACAAAACCAAGTGAAATAAATAGAAAATTATCATCTTGTTATTCAACGACAAATGATGACGAAAATCAACATTTACTTCGAGCCATTATTCGGTAAGTTGGGTTATTTTTTCTGAAAAAAAATCAATCCATCTGCAGAGTTTTTGAAAAATTTAGTCGAGTAAACTTCGTCTCTCAAAAAATTATTTAGAGAATTTTTCAATCTATAAAAAAGCATCATGATTTTTATAAAAAAAAAAAAAGATTTCAAATCGATCAATATAGAAAAAATTGAAAGAATGAATTTTTTATATTTATTTATTTTTGTACATCAATATCGAAAACACGAAAAATAATTCATGAAAATTTCTTTGAAGGGTATTTAAGTAATCAAATATCATTTTATTTCAAAAGTTTTATTTTAGTTATTTTATTTTATTAAAGTACAAAGAATAACAACTATGATATATCAGGAATAATAAATGTCAAAAATGAAGAAAACACATTACAATTTCTATTAGACAAGACTGAACTATCATCGATTTGTCTTGTTGAGCTTGTTCATGATATCAAAGTAAGAAAATTACTAAACATACATATACTAATGTGCTTCTTTGAGGAATTAAACATCTTTAACATCGGAAGAAAAGTTCTTTCTTTTTTGAAAATATTGTCTGAATTGCTTCTTGTAGATAAACTCGAAATAAATAGCAAATCTATGGTCATTACAATAACTAACGTAATCGAGTGACCCCTTTTTGACAAAAAAATATACAAAATTTCCTTGCAGATGATAAACGAAAATTTTCACTATTTTCTTTGTTTCTTTTTTAATATTGAATAAAGATTTTACAAGTCTGTTCTCTATATAAACGATGCAGAATTTTCTCACCAAAAAATTTCTATATTTCTGATGTTTTCACGTTGCTTCATTATTCAAAAAAGTAATGTTTTCTATTTGATTTCGTCACTAACTTCATTATAACCGAATTAGTTATTACGAGTATATTTTTTGTAAAGAATTCTTCTAAATTTAATTAATCGCTATCGAGGAGAGAAGATGATTCTCTTAGTAGACTAAAAAAAAAGAAGATCTACTCGTCAGTACGCAACTTTCATGAAAACTTTCCTTCGTTTTAACAAGAACCTCTTAGGAGTAATTTATTCGTTAGTCTATTTAACACAGTCAAATAGATAAGTATTTGTAGCTAATATTACTAATATTAATTCAATGCAGACAACGTTTGACTTCAATAATATTCATACTAATCAGTAAAATTAACACTTCACGCGCTTTGTGTGTGAATGAGCAGCATTCTTGAATTGAAAGATGCTTTGTTTTTAGTTTTTGTCTAAATGAAACTCACAAAACACTTGTATAGAAAAGCTATCTGGTTGTTACCAGTTGCACGATATATACATTTTCTTTGTCAAAAGGAGTAAATTTCGAATCGGGCGACTCATTTCAAGGCTTATTACACACTATTTCTACAAATAAATGGAACTATATTGAAAAATGCGGTATAGAGAATTTTTATAGAGCAGACGTTTTTCAATCTTTTGCTGTTTACTCGATTCCATCTGTTACCATTTTTAAAGATGAATAAGTGTAAGTTATTTATTAAGGCAAATGAAAAAATTCTTGAATTTGACAAATATAATGATGAGCAACTTTCAAATAAAGTTGGTATTGTTCATCAATATTTAAATCAATCAAATGAAATTGAAATATTAAGTAACAATGAAATGTCGATTGAAATGAAAAATTTTCTAAATTTAATTAGTGAACTTGTTCAATTAAAAAATTTCAATAAATATTGTGGTGATCTTGATACAAAAACAGATCAACATGGAACTTATTCTTATTTTGCCACGTATCAAAATCATCAAATTATGTTTAATGTAGCACCAATGATTCCATCTGATAAAAATGATTTAGAATTTATCGGAAGAAAAAGTTTAATTGCTAATGCATTAATATGTATTGTTTTTCAAGAAAAAAGTGGACTTTCATTTCAACCAGATTATTTTCTCGGAAAAGTAACACAAGTCTATATTATAGTGCAACCAATTCAAATTGAATCTGATCTTTATTACAAAGTTTGATTTTGCTTACAATCAAAAGATAGAATAGTTTAATTAGATTTAATTTTAGATTGAAATTTGGCGTCGTTCTGACATTGAACCGATAGTTGATCCACCTGGAGGTATTTTTAAACATGACGAATCATTTCGAGATTATTTTCTTATATTAATTTTGAATACAATGAGTACTATTTTAAAAAAAGATTTTTTTCAAAAACGTATTATTGAACAAAGATATCGTTTGAATAATGAATATCTTACAAAGCTTTCTCGAATGTTTTATTCCTATTCTAAATATGATTTATCAACGTTATGTGGCAATGATGATGATATACCTATTGAAAATGCAAACATAAGAGGTCATATAACGTCTAAACATCATCGTCTTCCCATTATAACGAACATAGTCAGAAGATTAAGTATTAGTAATCGATCAAAACAACGTTTTTCATTTACGGGAAATACGGAAAAAATAAGTCTATCAGACAGTGAAATATCACCAACAATAACAAAACACAATCGTTGGACATCACTCAATGACAAAATAAATCATATTTCATCTATGGTTAGAGTTTTACTCTTTTTTTAATATTCATTTTACAAAGAAAAATGAATATTAATTTTATATCTAAATATTTAATATAAAATTAACTTTCGTGTCAATGTCGAAATCAAATGTTATTCATCCAAACTCGACAATTAGAGTCGAATCTTCATTATCACTATTCAATCGTGTTATTCATCAACAAGAAGAAGATCCAAAGTCAAAAGAACTACCGTCTGAAGCGATCTCGTCATTGGTTACCAATATAGTACATTCTATTGGACCGAATTCTGAAATGTAAGAGAGAAAAAACATCTTTTCATAGTTAATATAATTCATATTTTTGATGAATAATAATATGAGATCTTCATAATAATCAATATTCATCTACTATTTATCATTGCAGTATGTCATCATCAATACCAATCACGAACGAGAATCAAATCAATGGGAACAATGATAATATAGATTATACAAATCTTCCTTTTAATAAAAATAATGATAAAGTAATCAATAAGAACCAACATATAGAGACTAAAACGAACAATTAACATGCATAATATTTTCGCTAAATACTAATGTTTACTTAATTAACATTATTTTAGTATCTTTTAAATCTCGCTACTTGTCAACTCTTCTTTTGTTTTTTATTAGATATTCTGGCCATAAAATAATCGATAGCATATTTCATCAATTTTTCTTTTTATATGACTACATCATCTTAGATAGTCAATGGTCAATCCAATGTATAACAGGAAAAAAAAATTTACTAGAGTAATAAATCTCTTTACACATATCTTTTTGCGTTAAAAGTGATTCAGCTAGAATTTCTAGCAATAATGCTAAACGAAACGTTATGAATTTTGGGTGTGGGTGTGTAGGTGGGTGTGTGGGTGGGGGATGAGGTGTGGGTGTGTGGGTGGATGTGGGTGTGGGTGTGTGTGGGCGTGTGTGGGTGTGGGTGTGGGTGTGGGTGGGTGTGGGTGTGGGTGTGTATGGGTGTGGGTGTGGGTCTACATGGTCTGTTAACACACACCCACACTCACGCACACCCCACACCCACGCATACCCCACACCCACATCCACGCACACCCCACACCCCACACTAACATCCCACACTTACACCCATACCCACAACCTACACCCCACACCCCCACCCCACACTCGCACTCATATGCACACCACCAACACCTCACCCACATCCATTCCAGTTCGAAGTAATGGATAAACTTTAGAAGGATTTAAACCAAGCATTATATGCCCATATGAGAGATTGGGTCGGATCAGTTGACAGCTTTTCAAGTGAATGATACGCCAATTTTTAAAACATTGAATTACAAGTAAATATCAAGCGACTCATAAATTTTTCGTCAAAAGCATGATAAATTTTTCGCTCTATTTGAAGTTACGATCGGCATTCATGGAACACAAAACATAGGTTTTGGGTTCTGTCTGACATTTGTCAGAAATTCGCACTTTTTAGCTTTGTTGAAACGATTCCTATCAATGTTGGCTGATTTTGAGAACTGTGTCTTGCATTAGAAATATTGTCAACATTACTTTGTAACTGTTGGGTGCGGGTGTGGGTATAGTTTATTTCTTTAACACACATACCGATGGTCGCAACCACTAACACCCACAATCTAGCCGTAGAGCAAGTTAGCATCACCATTTGCATCGTTACAGTAAAGATAATCGAGCAAATTATAAGTGATCGACTAATTTTTTCGATATGAGGTTTGGAAACTTGATATACAAGTTTGTGATGCCATAGCAACTAGGAGTATGACAGCTCCAGCTCCGTTTTGAGAGCTGAAGCTGTTCATCAGTTAAGCTCCCGAGGACTGGAGCTATTCATCAGCTCTTACCAAGAACGTTAACACACTGACGGGCTCTATTCCAACAAGCTATCCCATAATTCTTCATAGGCTTTCCTAGTGAGATACACAAAACTCTCCATGGGCTTTCCTAAGCTGGTACCCATATCTCTTTACGGGCTTCCCGACAGAGTACCGATAACTCTTTATAGTCTTCCCTAAGTGGATATTCATATTTCTTTATGGGCTTACGTAGGAGGATATTCATAAGGATGTCGGTATGAGTGTGAATGTGTGGGGTATGGGTGTGGATGTGAACGTGGATAAAGAGGAGGATTATCCCAATATCTACACCGATACCCGCAGCTACCCACACCCACACCCACATCCCACTCACACCCCACCCAAACCTATCATATCATCTAAAAATGATGTGAAATTAACTTTCGTCTATTAACATCCTGAAATCTATAGACAATTATGAGTAGATGTGTGAGTGTCGATGTGAAAGAAGACCAACAACTCTACACTCAAACTCAGCATAGCCACACCCCACACCTCACACCCGCACCAAAGATGGTCTCGAGCTTTCTGGTTCAATTGTATTCAATGATTTTCAAAGTGAATGAGTCAGATACAATGTTCGTAGACTAACATTGGTTTTCATGGGATGAATAATGTGCTTTCCCTTACGTTTGAGGCGTGGTAAATCCGTTAGTTTATAAACAGGCCGCCATCGTATAGCTATGTTACTGGTATTGTATTTAGCCATATTTAAATTGTTCATACCTACTATGGTGGGAAACACAAATTCTTGATAATAATTCCTGAGGTCAACCTTCTTGTAAAACGATTTTATACGTAGCATATGTTCACTAAAGTTCGAAAGTAATTGATTCGAGAGGCGCGCAAGTGGATTGAAACTGCGGGTCCAATATCTGAGCGGAAATATTGTTTGATTCGCAATAGGTGGCCAATGAGGCCATTTAGAAGCAGTATGATAAGGTTTGATAAAGGCAGTTAGTAGATCGCTATGATCATCTCGATGTGCATCAAATAGGTTCACCATGTACTGGACGTCAGTGAATTGAACATCTTCTTCTATGATCCATGCATACGAAAAATTTTGGATCAGAAGCCATGATAAACAGCGTCCCCAAGCGCTGAATTTAGTTAGAGGGACACGATTCAAGTATAAAAACCATCGCGTCTTTAATTCACGGTTAGAAATGTATACCACCCGACCGGTTGAGTTAAAACTAACAGCATCATCTGTTATCCGATCAACGACAACATAAGTATTGATTCCAGCGCATAACAATGCCTCAAAATTCTCTCTCACAGTCACACTTAAATTTCTAGCGATGATGACTGCAAAATGAGATAACGTTGTTTGGTTACGAAGTTCTACTGAAGTAGTTGAATAAAACTTTTTTTCTGATGAGAACGTATACCAAATGGTTCTGTTAATGTAAAACACAAAGATTGTGTGGACCACGATCGCGTAAAATAAATACTGTTGATTACAAAAACGCATGAAAATCTGCACTCTTTTGAAATCTGAAAAGAATAAGCCTATACAACACAACTTTTAAGAGGTTTACTATTGGGCAAAACACAGTTCTCAAAATGATTCAAATTAAAAAACAGATTCTATTACAAACTATGGAAATCAATTCTAATTCTTCATCAAAAATAAGTCCATAGTGCGTAATAGGCATTAGAAAAATAGACTGACTATACATCGATCCTTATGATTGTAGGATACGAGTGTGTGTGAATAAGATTCAGAAGAAAACTAACAGCAGTGATTTTCCTTCTCTCCCTTCCAACACTCCTAACTCCCATCACACACCCACACTTAAATCCTGTTTGATTTAGTCTTCTCTTTTTGCCTTATTATTTTTTACACAGAGTCATACAAAAAAAAAAGAAAAACTAACCGTCTAAATTTCAACAAAAATGAAATCGTGAAATGGCCACATTTGTGTGATTTTATTTTCGTTAAAACTTAGTCCTCTTTTTAAGCGTTCTTTTTATTCATTTGTCTAAATTGAATAGGGTGCTAGTAATTCTCCTGCAATGACTGTGATTCCTATTGGGATATGAGTAAGCTATGAAATTTTTAAATATGCATAGTTTCAAGACGCCTTCTAAGACATCGATTTTTCGAATTCTTTTCGCAAATCTTGCATATATGAAAGCTTTAACTAGACTAGCGGCCATAAAAATATTTGGTAGTTCAGACCAAAGTCGCTTCGAGATACGAAGCTTTCTAAAAACTTTTGCTTTATAGACTATTTATGACAACGGGTATCCAGAGTGTTCCAAAAGTCCAGTCGAAAAAGAAACGTAAATATCTCTTTAACTACTTAAGCGATTTACGTAAGGTTTTCATAGTTTCATTCCGTATTCATTGAAGTTTTATTTCACATAAATTTGTCTGTAATACATGTGCAAAATGATCACTTATAAATGCAATATACAAATCCTTCCTTTTTGAAAATATCTGTAAAAACTACCGTGTAAAATTTAGTCTGAAATCTTTTTGTTCTAATTATTGTTTTCAACTTTCAACTGAACTAGATTTTTGATAGATGTCTTATAAAATTATTCTCTACGTATTTCTATAAAAAAACAGTGAGTCGCATCAGCTCAGCTGATCACAATGCCCATTGAAATGGATTGTCTTTTCTATTGCATATGCTTGAATAAATGTTCTCCAAAAGTTGACGGACTTCACAGCTAAAATGCAGAGATATTTCATCTTTGAGAAATAATAGGGAGTTCATCTAACATAATCTTCTTACTCCTGAACTAAAAAACGGTTTAAAGCGTACGAAAGTGTTTTTCTCCATTGATAATGCTACCACGAAAAAAAAACTGTTCCAACACTTGATTTTCTAACGCCACACAAGAAACGTTGTCTTTCAAGATTGTATAATAATTTCAATAATTGCATGAATCTACGACATCTGTTAAAGGCCTTGTTAAAATGAAAATGAAAATGCAGACGAGAATCCAAAGGATTTCAAACTGAATTTTATATAATATTTTTATAGATATTTTCAAAAAGCATAGATTTAGTACATTGCATTTATAAATGGTCATTTTGCATATCTATTAGAGACCAATTTATATAAAATAAAACTTCAATGAATATAAAATCAAACTATAAAAGTCTCACGTAAATTGTTTGAATGGTTAAACAAATATTCATGTTTCTTT